ATCATCAGGTACAAGTATGTTAAAGTTATATTAAAGTTTTTCTTCATTACCCATTCAAGCCGTCTCCAGCCATTATTAGTCTCAAAGTGGATTCCTCGTCATTGAATTTGAAGTTATACACTATAGCGTGATAAACAAACTCTATGAGATTTTTTTTGTCTTGGGGAAAATGTGTACAGGTATAACTTCTACGTTTTGACGTCCAGAAAATAGCAAGAAAACTGTAGCTTTCCGTCGGAACTGGAGTAGTAACTATCACAAGTTGAAACGATGCATAACAGAAACTCACAATTCCTGAGACATTTTGTAGCATCTTAACAGTTTTAATTACAGAATGAATAAGGATTAGATAATAATTATGTATACCAAAACAACATTCAGAACAGCTTCAACTGAGTAGAAAAATAGTAAACCATTGGCTTATTTGCATACAGTTTTAATCTCTTAGAGATAAATAGTTATCATATAACTGAATATATTTCTATGTATACATATATTGTTGCATAATGAAATATTATATTGTTTATTTGAATTTTGCAGTGAAAGACTAGAGAGAGAGAGAGAAGCAGCTAATCATCACCACCCACTGCCAGCTCTTGAGCTATTTTTTTACCAACGAATAGTGGGATTTACTGTTACATTATAACACCCCACGGCTGAAAGGGTGGGCATGCTTGGTGGGACGGGGATTCGAACTCGCGCCATAACTACCTGACCATGCCAGACCCAAACATTATATTGTAATTATTCTCATTTTGCCTTAAAACTTTGTGGTAAAATACAAGCATAGCACTTTGAGATCAGATTTATTTTCCGCTTCTCAACGATCGAACTAAGCCTAACTTTTATATTTGTTTCAAAATCGGCTCGTACTAACGAAAACTCATTCACTCCGCAATCTTTCACTCATTTACTGATTCTCTACCTATTGATTAAAATATCCAAAACATTTTTCTTAAGTATTCTAGCCACAGTCAACATAATGTAGGGTAAACAAAAGGGGCTCGTAATTCTAATTTTTGTTTAAATAATAATATTAAAAACAGGTACAAACACTTTAATATTGGCCCCCAGTGGCACAGCGGTGTGTCTGCGGACTTACAACGCTAGAATCCGGGTTTCGATACCCGTGGTGGGCAGAGCACAGATAGGCCATTGTGAAGCTTTGTGCTTAATTACAAAACAAACAAACGTTAATATTGTACATTCTGATGCAATAAATATGTGATATAAGAAACAACATAATTTCACCCATTTTATACAGCTTAAAGTATAAATATACTAAGCAAAAGGTGGCTCGTTCATTATTCGAATTTTAGCTTCATTGACTAAGATAGATCACGAAGAACACGATTAAGAATTTCGGTCCGAGTAGTTGTTGTTTGGTTTATTTGTTGTATTAATGCATTTGTACTACTAAGGGTATTTAAGAGATGATTAGAATGTGCGTCAAACTAGAACAGTGATATATCCTAAGCAAAATTTCTGGTGATGGAAGGTGTGGTCTGAATACTCTCTTTCATACAGTGAAAAGGGTATTTCTTCCTTTACCTTATTCTGAACAACTGACGATATACCACGTATATTAAAGGTAAACGACATATTCTTATCCACGTGAAACGACACTAAAACGTACTATATTATTAATCTCCGGTACAGGGGTTCTCGAGGGCAAGCGTACCTCTTTTAATATGCAGAGAAAACGAGACGGTTACATAAACGTCGTTCTTGCGCAACTTGTTTGTTGCCAAGGTACCTGAACCTACCGCCAAACTCAAGCAACAAAAAGTGGTCTGCCCAGAGCTTCCAGTTCATAAGCGCCTTGAACTCTGATTCAGAAGTAGGGTCAAAGCAAGCTCTGACAATTTCGAGACAAAGAAAATGACATCAGTCAGAAACCGTACGTGCACGTTAGTTAGTGTGCGAATGAGTGTTTTATTAAATAAAAATCGTATGGGTTACCGATTATTAACGTGGCCAAAAAAAGGCACCAACATATTATTATCCCGTCAAGAATATTACTATTATTAAATAACCTTATTCAAAAGTATTTATTTAAGTTAGTTTTGTTTTCAAGATAGGAAAGAGCTGTTTAAACGTACGTATTCACGAAATATGTATTAAACCTATAAATTAAAAAATGTGTTCTTTTGTTTTATAGTTATCTAAGATTATTACCATAAAAAAGTAATTCTTCATAAATATTGGAGTTCTTATATTTTGCATATTATTAGGTGTTACCCTGGACGCCGACCTCGACTGAAAAGTAAAGGACGAATTATTTAAGAAAACTATTGTATGACGTCATTAATTATTAAAAAGGCCCATAGTGACCAGCAGAGGGTGTCGTTTCATATTTTTCCGTAACTTAGGCTGCTATGTTTGATTGCATCTTATCGTTTGCAAAAATATAATCATATAATTGGAATATATTGTTGCGTCAGCGAGTCACATGACCACCGTGACGCAACGTTTCTAGAACTATCATGTACTTTGGCGAATGTTCAAGTTCTTACTAGAAATAGGGTACGCTGGTATATAAAAGAGGGGAATGTAATGTGTGAGTAGTCAGTGTGTAATTGATCTGCGGTCAGAAGTATTATTGACGTTCGTTGATATAGCGCGATTGTTGAAGTTGAGTGTATCGGTAAAGTTATATTCGGAAAGAATAAACCAGTTTTATTAAGTAGAGACTTGTGTCGCTTAAGTTTCGTCGGAACGAAGTTACGGAAAATCAATTAAAAAACGGAGACGTAACAATATATACATATATGTGTTCCATCCCAACTGCTAAATGTGCAGGGGGCCTGTCCCTCGTCGCCCAGAATCGGCGCCTATGGGTGTTACTATCATTCCGCACTATTTGTCGGGTATTGGGAGACTTGTTGGTTTCGTTATTACATTTTTACATACTATTATTAAGTCTTTTCATTAATAGTTTTTCACCCCT